GCGGCGGTGGCGACGGAGTCAGCAGCGATGGCAGCGGAAAGTGGCGGCGACAGCAGTGGCACACTCGGTCTGAACGGGTGCGCAGAGAAGAAGAGAAAATGGAATTTGAGGGCTGTCACCGGAAACTGTAAGGGCTGCCGGCGGCCATGGCGGCCGGCCGCCGGCAGACAGTAGAGACCCTAGAGGTAGATCAGAGAACCTGCTCTGATACCATGTGAAAATGGTATTGTATTGAATGAAATGATTCTCTTACTTATTACACCCTTTCACTTAATCCTATACTTATAGGAGTAAGTGAGTGGTACACACCTCACACACACTCACATACAGCACACTCACAACTCACATCTAAATACAAATACAATAATTCTAACAAAAGGTAACTTTTAAGCTTTTGTCACACAGCTGACTAATGCTTAACCGGTTGTGTTTGAGGCCTTCCACTAATAGCACATTTTCAACTACAAAAGAGGAAGGATTTCTTATCTTTCTAGTGCCTAGGATTTTAATTTTGTTATTGTCACCGTATGTGACATGTCCACAGGTTTTGTAGGATATATGGGTGAACTTGCTTGTATCTCCAGTCATGTGTCTTGAGCAACCATTATCAAGGTACCACATGGACTTTTTGGCTCTTTGATTATCACAGATTAAAGGACAGTGGCAGGTACCCAGTTAAATTTGGGTCCTTTCATTTTAGGGTGTTTCAATGGTTCCTTAGGAACCCATTTAAACTTTCCTTTAGGAACACCAGAATTTTTGTAATAACATGAATTTGATGCATGGCCTAGTTGATTGCAACAAAAATAGACAATTGAGGAGGGTTTGCTTATCTTAATAAACTTTCTGGTTTTTAATCGATTATATTTACCAACATACCTTATTCCTTCTCTATTTAACACACTCCTTTGTGAACCAAGAAGAACATCAAGATTTGAACTTCCTAGAGTGAACTTGGAAAGTGTTTTCATTAGGTATTTTATTCTTTCCATTTGTTTTAAACCGTTTTCACAATCTTGAACACATCCCTTGTTTTCATGCATGGTGTTTTTAGGAACATTTTCTAAGGATTCTAATTTTGATTTTATATTTTCATTTTCATTATTTAGAACCTCTATTCTATTTTCCAGCCACTTGTTTTCACTCTTATACTTGTTTTTTGAGTATTGGAGTTTCCTAGCTTCCTCATGCAATTCTTGAAATGCATCAAGTAGTTGATAGTATTTATTTTCAATGATTTTAGATTCAAAACTACTTACATTGCTTTCAGATGATGCAGATCCAGCCATTAAATAGAAATTTGTTTCCTCTTCAAGGCTCTTGTTGGATACACTAGAGGTGTTGGATGCATTCTCCTCCCATGCAATATATGCTTTCTTTTTCTTTTATGTCTGTTGTCATCATTTCTCTTCCAGATTCTGCTTCATTTTGAGTACAGGGCACTCTGGCTTAATGTGTCCCACTTTTCCACATTCAAAGCAAGTGGGGGCAACAAACTTGTCTTGTTTTCTAAATGACCTTTTATTTCCTGCAGAATCATTGTTAGTTTTAACTTTATAATTCAAGAATTTAAAAACCTTTTTACCATCAGATTTAGAGCTTCACTATCAAAATTTTCAGCAGCTTGATCATCTCCTGAATCAGTTTTCCTTATTCTGGATTTTCGATAGTTCTGGCAGTGTATTTTCATGTAATGGTGACGCAACTTTCAAACCTTACCAAACTCCTCCTTAGCAACGAACCCAAGAGGTTGCTTCATGTATATTTCTTCTGCAAGAAAACAATGTAGAAAGACATTTTTTATATCCAATTGATGGAGTTACCAATGACAAATTGCTGCTATAGCAAAATAAAGGTGAATAGTAGTCATCTAGGCCACTAGAGAGAAAGTAGCACTATAATCCAGGCCATAAACTTTAGTGTACTCTTTTGCAACAAGTCGTGCCTTGAGACAATTGACTTCATCATTAGGACCAACTTTAATAGTATAAACCCATCAACACCTTACTGCTTTTCTCTCAAGTGGAAGGGAAACGAACTCTGGAATATTACTGTGGTCCAGAGCCTACATTTATGCAATCATGGCTTGTCACCATCCCAGATAATTAAGTACTTCCTTCACATTTTTGGGAATCGTAATAGAAGACATTGAGGATAGCAAAGAACCATAAGAAGGCAACAATTGGTGATAACTAAGAAAATTATAAATGGGATGTGGGTTTAGAGTGGAACGAGTACCTTTTCTAAGAGAAATGGGCCAACATGAATCATCTTCTTCAAGAGTCATGGTATTGAGTGACTTGGAGAAAAAATTGAAGTAGAGGATTCACCTTGTTCTTGGGTAATTGGGCTAGTTATTTGGGTCTCGTGTTGAAGGATACTAATAGGTGGCAATGATGGTTCATGAGGTCTTTGATCAAGACTGAGAATGACAGAGATACCAAAATTTGTGGACTCCACTAATGGTGTAGGAAGGATCTGCTAAATGAAATCATTATCTTAAACGAATGAAGAAAAGTAAGGAGTCTATTCAAATAATGTAATATTAGCAGACATATAGTACTTCTTGGTTTCAGGAAAGTAACATTGGTACCCCTTTTGAAGTCAAGAATAGCCTAAGAAGACACATTTCATCGCACGAGCAGATAGTTTGTCCAACCTTGGAGACATGTCATGAACAAAACATAGTTTTGTCCAACCTTGGAAACATGTCATGAACAAAACATACACAACCAAACACGAAAAGAAATGTGAAAGAGAGAATCATTTGGAAAAAGAATGGAAAAATGAATTTTATTAATGAGAGGAGGATGACATCCTGTTAATAAGAAAACATGCAGTTAGGATGACATTCCGCCAATGATGGACAAAAGTATTTGCATCAAGCAATAGTGTATGAGCAATGTGTCTATTTTGTCTTTTTGCTATACCATTTTGCCTTAATGTATGAAGACAAGTGGACTGATGTAATATATGATGCAAACCAAGATAGTAGAAAAATTGGACGAGAAGTATTCTTTGGCATTATCACTTAGAATTTTGATTACTTGATCAAGTTGATTCTTGACCAAAGGGATCTTCATATCTCAACAAAAATACATTACTGATTTGCTACAGGAAATAGGTTAAACAGTCTGCAAACAAACAAAGTTCTCCTATTGATCCAAAGAAAAAGTTCAGAAGTGTAGAGGATGATGTTGCTGTAGAAAAGAAATGTACTAGAGACTTGTGGGAAGACTTATTTATCTATCTCACACTTGACCAAATATTGATATTGCTGAGTGTAGTTAGTCAATTTATGCACCAAGAAGTGGAATTTTAATTCTAAAGAAGCAAGAATGTTAGGGTTAAGGTATATACTGATGCTCACTATGCGGGTTCAATCATAGATAGGAGGTTAGCTACTACATATTGCACGTTCCTTGTTGGAAACCTTGTAACATGGAAGAGTAAATGACAAAGTGTAGTAGTTATATATAGTGTCAAAGTAGAATTTCAGGCAATGACTCAAGGAATATGTGAACTGTTATGATTGAAAATTATGTTGGAAGACTTTAATCTATGAGGTTATATTGTGAAAATAAATTTGCAATTAGTATAGCCTAAAACCTAGTACAACATGGACAAATTTTTTTTCAAAGTTTCACAGTGGCTTGTTTTTCACTCCATATGAGTCTACTCAAGGACGGCTTGAAGACATACTCACCAAGGGCTGAATAGCAATAAGTTTGAGAAAATTATATCCAAGATGGGAATGAGGAACTTTTATTCACCATCGTAAGAGGCACTGCCTAGATATTTTAGGAAGTTTAGATTTTATTCCTATTGTTTATAACTATATATTGGTTGTATGTTGGTTTTATAACTAGCATATCAATCCTGCAATCTCAGGGAATTTATCCTAAAATAGGTTGTGTTTGTTTCCTAAATTATTAATGTATGTATATATATCAAATGTATGTAATGAGACTGAATAAGAGACGAATTATTTTCTTCTAAATTTCAGATACCATAAATCGTGTATGAAATGAACGGTCCTTTAGGGCATTTAAAGATGGAAAAGTGTTCTGACTAATGTGATAAATGTGCTTAAATGTTTGCAAAATTTAAATTAATCATACATATTTCCCTTCTAGTTTTATTTACATCTTTATATTTTGAAGCATGTATTTTTTTTGTTTAAATAGGTATCAGAGAAAGGCAGCAAAGTTAATCCAAGATTTCACAGCTTGTGCAAATGACGTATATACATTATACGAGTAGATATTGTTTCTGAAACAGTGCCCAGAATCTTATTTTAATTATTAGTATTTTTTCTACACAGGTTGCTCTGGAAACACTTTCTTCAATAAGAACTGTACGAGCTTATGGAACAGGAAAACGAGAATTTGGAAGGTCCTTTATTCTGTTACTGAATATTCAAGCTGGAAATCTATATTTTGACTTGATGTTACTGTTGGAGTATCTGTTAGGTTCCTAGATAGAGGAAACCAGGAAAAACCCACTGCAACTACCTATACTCACTGAATAGATCTTGTATTATTCATTCTAGGCAACAAGTACAGCATGAACGCAGCCAAGGGACAATGTTCCCTTCACACAGGATGGCAATGGTCCTGCCAACTTTTCTCCAAACTTTCATAAACGTCCTCTGCATACGAAGACCCCCACTATATATGGAAAGCCTCACTCCTCCACCTAACAACCCCCTAACAACCTAACTAACAACTACTTCTATATATGTTTTCTCCTAACATACACATTACATATCCTATCATTATGCTGTTGTAGAAACTCAAGGTTAGAACAGTGGCAGCTTGATCCTATCATTACGCTCTGAAGCAGAAACTCATCTTTACCAGCATGTTATCTATCCTTCCTGATAGCATTGTCATATTGTCTTTCATAGGAAGGGAACCCACTGGCTACTGCTTGCAAATTCTGGTACGGAGGTTTGGGTGGTGGAGAAGAGAGTGGTTTTTGTATAACAAACTCTGAACCGAAGAAGTTGGAATTCCAAAAGTCCAATGTCATTGATGTTCCAATCATTATCAAATCTAAGTTCAAACGTGAATTCTTATTCATGTTATGTAAATTTGATTTTTGAAAAAAATGTTGCTTAGCTGCATCTCCACCTTCAACTCTCTTTATTGTTATATCTCTTTCCTCCTCCCTCATAATATATTTTTCTATTACAAAATCTTACTTTTGTTTTGGTTTTTTTTCTTCACTACAAAGGGTGTGGTTCTTCATTACTGACCCTTCTCCCACATTTAGAACAATTTGCATATCTCTAATCAGGTCCTTTGGATCCTCTTGTGACAACCATTTTTGAACATTAGATTGCAGCCCTGCAAATATATATCCCTGCAATTGATCTTCTGGTGTTTTATTTGCTTGTGACAACATCTTTAATTCTTGGATGAATTTTTCCCCACTTATAGTCCATGTTACTGCTGCCAAACTCTCAAGTAAAATTCTCCGTGCATTCCCGCCAGCTGCCAAGAAATCAAACCCACCCTCCTCAAGAAGACCATAATGGAAGGAATAGAAAGTTCTTTTAGAAGAGCGTGAATCCAAAGAATTTATGCAATAGATTGAGGTAAGCTGCGATATTCAGCTTCAATACTTGGTCGACAATGACACTAAATTAGAATGAAACTAATGATATAAAGATTTGCTACAAGATTAGTAGTACCCAAGTGTGAAAATAATGAGGGGTAGCCTTTCTCATATCCTAATAAGGATATAATATTAGTTAGAAAATTGAACTATCTTATTATTACAATCAAGACCTATGAAAGTTTATTCCTAATTAGGTAGGAGTTTGGTATTGCGATCCATGAAGGTGTCAACAAATTTTGAGTTCATCAACCCAAATTCTTCAAAAATATCGATATTTCCTTTGACATATAACAATATCATTGTTGGATTGTGATACCTCATTTGCTAAGAAGTATCTGAGTTTGTCAATATCTTTGATCTGAGAGTGGTGACAAAAGTGTTTTTTCATCTAGGAGATGCCTCCAAAACAAGCCCTAAGAGACTGCTTCTGTCCATATAAAGATTTGCGGTCACATCCTTTTAATAATACAAAGAGTGCTCATCCGTTTGATTTGCTTCATTTTGAAATTTTCGGTCTGCATAAAACTTTAATATATCTGGTGCTAAATGGTTTGTCACTTTTATTGATGACTACCCCCTTGTTACATGGATTTTACTCATGAAAAAAGAAAAATCTGATGGTTTTACCTTATTTTTCAAATTCTTCCATATGATGAAAACACAATTTGGAAAATCAACTAAAAGTTTGCGTTTTGATAATGGAGGAAATGTCAATACAGGTTGTATTGTGAATACAGCAGAAGATAGAATGGGATGTGGAGCACTGTTGGCTGCGCAACAGATCACATGGGCTTAGAGCATTGATACCATGTAAAAACAAACTGTTTCTGATACTATTTATAGAAGATAAATTGCTCTTAAATTGAATACATAGACATACATAATAACTGAAAATCTAATTTACGATAGATATAATCTATCCCTACAATTCAGGATCAATGATCTTGTACAATAAATATAAAAATATACTATCAGCCTATTAATCCTCTAAGGAGATGTGAAGTGCAACATAAATCAAGGGATTCTGACATATTCAATTACAATTGTTATAGAAATCTTTCTCGAAGAAGAATTGAGATTTCTTTCCATGTTCTGAGAGTATTCATTTTCATATAAAAAATATTTACACTTTTAGGTAGCACATATAAAAATGTTGAATTCTGAACCATGATATTTGAAGGTGGACTTTAAGTATAACTTAACTCCACAAGATTAGTTTGTAAGGTAGGTTTGCATTGACTTATATATTATAATTTTTATCATATCTCTATTCTATGTAGAATCTCCAAGACACCCTTTCACATTAAGGATTGACCATCTCGAACAGGAGACCATATATTTATGGGTGGCACAATATGCTGAACAATTGTTATTAGGATATGTTTTAATAACATCTTAAAAAGTGACCTTTAAGTCTAACTCATTATAATTTGGTTATATCTCTAGTTATATAAGATCTTTAACATGAAAATTTATGGAAAACTTTAACCGGAAGAAAATGTGTCAAATTTCATATTAGTACCAATTGACATTAATCAAAGTTCAGCAAATTTATAAGTTGCACTCCAAGAATTGAGGCAAGTGATATGGCATTTCTGATGCCTACCAAATAACGTGAGCCTACCGGAATGGCAATTATCAAAATGAGTTATGGCACTGTCATTTAAAAACAACCATGTCAAATTTGATGGTGGATTTGTCTCCAATCACTACAACATAGCAAGGATGAACTGGGTTTTGTATACACAAGTTTATCATAGATTTTTTGTGTAAATGTTTATATTTGTTCGAACAATATTGACATGCATAAACCCATTTTATATTTATTCAGGTACAAGCAGTGGCTACAAAGCTTGGCAGTTATAACTCTTCGAGAGAATATGGCTTCAGGGTTCTGGGACCTAATATTTAGCAGCTTATATCGTTTTATGCAGGTTTGGCTTTTTTAACCTTATTAAAAGATACAAAACTAGTAATTGAGTGTTGAAATTCCTTCTTTCTACATATTAAAGAAGAATAAGGAAAAGACCAGTTATTTGACAGGCCAGTAGAAGGAATCAGGCCTTGGAAACTATTGAATATAGAGAAAAATTAGGTATAGGGTTAATATCCCTTGTGTAGAGAATACACATAGGGTAGTGTATTTATAGTTATTGAATATGGTAGAACTAGGTATAGTATTAATCTCCCTTGTGTCTAAAATACATATAGGGTAATATATTTATAATGAAGAATGATATAAGTATATATGGCAACCAAACATAAATATGGTAAAAAGAAGATATTGTTAAAAAAAACAATATCAACAATATCTACCAATATCAAAAGTTAAGTTTTCCTAATCAACATAAAACAAAATATATCTAACACTTCTCCATAAGATGGTGCATATAAATTGCATATACCAAGCTTGTTACAAATATAATCAATTCTCGATCCCCTTAAAGACAGTGAAAATACCTGCTAACTGGTCGAGTTAATGAACTCAGTCTTGATGTCTCAATGTGCTTAGTTCTTGAAAGAAATTATAGTTAGTCTCAATGTGCTTAGTTCTATCATGAAAGACAGGATTAGAACTGATATGAAGAGCTGCCTGATTGTCACATATAAGTGTCATTTGAGTGACATCTCTACATTGTAACTCTCTAAGCAATTACTTAAGCCAAACAAGTGGCTGAGGCCATAGCTTTATATTTTGCTTCTGCACTAGATCTTGCAACAACACTTTTTTCTTGCTCTTCCAAGAAATCAAATTACCACGAATGGAGATACAATACCTAGGAGTAGATCTTCTATCAGAAAGAGATCCTGCCCAATCAGTATCTGAATATCAAATAACTTTTATATGCTTATTGGAACCATATAACAAACCTTTTTTAGGAGATTCTTTAATGTACTTTAATATACGAATGACTGCATTCCAATGATCTTCGCATGGGGAGTTGAGAAATTGCTCAACACACTGATTGAAAAGGAAATGTCAGGATGAGTCTGTAAGGAAGAGTTAATGGTATTCTTGAGACCGATGTATAACTGACCATCAACTCTCTTCCAATGGGAAAATTCACCAGAAGCAATATCAGTCACTCTAAGTAAGATGATCAAGATACTCCTGACTCTCAAGCCAAAGTTTAGTGTTCGACATTCAAGTCGCATATTTAATGTCATCTAACTTATCAATGGATAAGCGCACATTCACATAGTTAGTATAGACTAATGGGTTAGACACACTGGTGGAAGAAGAGATATCGAAGAGGCATTGAAACATTGTTAGGTTGTGCTACCTCAATTCCAAAGAGGTATTTAAGTTTACCAAGGTTGTTTGTTTGAAAATAATGACAAAGGTGTTGTGTCATGTGTCAAATGTCATGGTAATTGTTACCTCTAAGAACAATGTCATCAACATACAGTACAAGGTAGATACACCCAACCCCTAAATTACAATTAAACAAAGAATCATAAGACTCATACCAAGTCATACCAAACTATTGAACTATTGCATTGAATCTACCAAATCATGCATTGAGAGGTCGTTTAAGATTATATAAAGGTTTGCATTGATGACAAACCAAGTAGGAAGACTCCTCTTAAGCAACAAAACCAGTAGGTTGCTTCATATAAGCTCCCTCCAACAAATCGCCATGTAGGAAGACATTTTTGACATCTACATGATAGACGGGCCAATGTTGAAGAGTAGCCATAATTAATAATAATGTAACAAAGACTATCTCTGTGACTTGAGATAAGACATCCATAATCTAGTCCAAAGATTTGAGTATAACCTATGGCAACTAAATGAGCTTTAAGCCTATGAATAGTGTCACCAAAACTAACTTTGATTGTGAAGACCTATTGACAACCAACGACATATTTCCCTTGAGGCAAAGGAACAACATTACAGGTACCATTGTTCTTAAAAGCTACCATTTGTTGGAAGTCCTTCATCAATTAGATATAAGGCCAATTTATAATACACAAGGGAGTGCAAATCTCACTTTACAAGTCGGTTTTGTAAGGTTTAGCAAGGCTTAAAGTCCACCTAAACATGGTATTAGAGCTATGAGTTAGAGCATATCCTAACAAAGGTTGTTGTTTGTTGGATTTATTGTTCCACTCACGGCCACTATTGAACCACCGTTAATGTCTAGTCTCACTCAAGATGCATATGCCCCAGCGTGAGAGGGTTGTGCTGAAAGTCCTACATTGACTAAAAATAAAGCCAATTTATAGTATATAAGTGGGTACAAACCTTACCTTACAAGCAGCTTGTGTTGTAATTGGAGGAAAATCTTCCTAATTAGAGAAAATATCTATAGATCTTCTTAATTACAGAAAATATCTGTAGGATCTTATAGTTTATTTTTTAGTACATTGTTTCCTGACTTTCCTTTTTTAGAAGATTAGATTGTTACAAATAGAGGTAAGGAGAATGTAATAGATATGAATGAAAATAATAAAATTCATTCTCTTTTCAAGATGGTATTTGAGCTCCCGATCTTTGGGAGCTTCATTTCCGTTGCAACACTAGCCATCACCGCTGCTGTTCAACCATTGCGGCTGCCATTTTAGCCTTTAGGGTCGTTCATAGGGCAAAAAAGTGCACCCAACTCCGACAAACAAAACGTTAGAAATTGCTCCGGGAAAGACATCGCCATGTGCCACCACCGTCGTCGGCTCGTGACCATGCGCCTAGTTCCGGCGAGACCATCGTTAACAACAAATTTTCTAGTCTCTTTCTTAAGGGAAAATGGAATGTCTAGGTACTCATAGGTTAGTGTCAAACTAGATTTTGGTTCCTATGCAGTTCAGAAAAAACTATTAAAAAGACATCATAAAATAGTGATAACTACTCAAATACGAGTCAAACATAGGGTTAAAATATACCAATATTTCTCACTTATCAGTTTTGTCAGGGTAGATTTTAGGACCTATAAGTAGTTGGGAATGATTGATCTTCATTTACAAACTTCAGAGGGATTATTGCAAGTAGAAGATTATTTGGAAAAAAGTATTTTCAATATCTCGATAGTGATTAGGGAAAATATCTTTAGAATCTTTCCATTTATTTAAGCATATATTTTTTTCATTATTTTAAGGGATTTGAATATTACAATTAGAGACCATGAGAATGTAATTGGGGTGATTGTTATTAATAAAATAGTTCTAGTAGAAAATAAGAATTATTTTATTATTCTCAATTAATCAAAAAAATACATTCTCATACCCTCTATTTATAATAATCTAGTTCTCCTAAAAAGGGAAATAGGGAAACTAGGAAAACTAGGAAAAATAAAATAAAATAAAAGATTATGTATCTATTTCCTCTAATTAGGAAGATTCTAAAGATATTATCTCAAATTACAACACTCCCCCTCAAGTTGGTAAATGAATATCAATCATTCCCAACGTGCCTACAAGATCTTGAAATCTACCCGGAGGAAGCCCTTTTGTAAATATATCTGTTATTTGAAGTTCTGTAGGAACATGAGTTGTAATCACAAAGCCTTTGTCAAGATTATCTTTGATGAAATGTCTGTCAATTTCAATGTGTTTGGTTTTATCATGTTATATTGGATTATGGGCTATGGTCATAGCAGACTTATTGTCAAAGTGTAGTTGTACCGGGTTCTCCACTTTGACTTTAAGATCATCCAAAATGATTTTCATCCAGAGTCCTTCACACATTCCTTGAGCAAGGGCTCGAAATTCAGCTTCTGCACTAGAATGGGATACTCTATCTTGCTTTTTGCTTCTCCATGTTACCATACTATCTCCAAGAAATACACAATACCCAGAAGTAGATTTTCTGTCAGTAATAGAACCTGCATAGTCAGCATCAGTATATATCTTCATATTCAATGTGTCTTCTTTTTTGAATAATAGTCCCTTTCCTGGACTTGACTTCAAGTATTGGAGAATTTTGTCAACTGCTTGCATGTGTCTCTCTCTTGGATCATGCATAAATTGACTCACTACACTAACTACATAAGCAATGTCTGGTCTTGTGTGTGATAGATAAATCAATTTTCCAACCAATCTCTGATATTGAGCCTTCTCTACACGAGCACTTTCTTCACTTCCAATTCTGTGATTATGTTCTATAGGAACTGTTGAGGTTCTACATCCTAGCTTTCTTGTTTCTTTGAGGAGATCAAGTACATATTTCCTTTGGGAGATGAAAATTCCGTTCTTGGAGTATGCAACCTCTATTCCAAGAAAATATTTGAGTTTTCCTAGGTCTTTCATTTCAAATTGAGCTGCCAATTTTTTTTTTAATGCCAATTTTTCTGTTTCATCTTCTCCTGCAATAATCATATCATCCACATAGACAAGCAATAGAGTGAGTTTACCTGTAGAAGAGTGCTTTATGAATAGAGTATGATCTCCTTGGCTTTGTCTGTATCCCAAGGAAACCATTACTTTTGTAAATCTTCCAAACCATTCTCTAGGGGATTGCTTAAGACCATACAATGCTTTCTTCAAGAGGCATACCTTGTTTCTTTCATTTTTCACTTCAAAACCTGGGGGAATCTCCATGTACACTTCCTCATCTAGATTTCCATGAAGAAAGACATTCTTCACATCCAGCTGGTGTAAGTCCCATCCAAAATGGGCAACCAAAGCGAGAATAACTCGAACTGTATTCATCTTTGCTATTGGGGCAAATGTCTCCTCATAATCAATCCCATATGTTTGGGTATATCCTTTTGCCACCAATCTAGCTTTATATCTTTCTATTGTCCCATCTGCCTTATGTTTCACTGTGAATATCCATCTACACCCTACTGCCTTCTTGTCTCTTGGCTTATCAACAATCTCCCATGTTGAATTTCTTTCTAATGCATTCATCTCTTCTTTCATGGCTTGATTCCAATGTTCAAGTTCATGGCCTCCTGGATTGAGGTAGGAATTTTAGGCAGCAATAAAACTTCTG